TGTCACAGAGGCATTCACACTAACATTTTCGCCAGAAATGCAAATTCTCAAGTTGAGATTCTTTTTGTGAATTAAATCAAATGAACATGTTTTRTATAGCCCATAGATGGATCCCTACTTGTGCTAGGACCCCCACCGTAGGTCGCCTTTAAAACTCACGGTTTGTGGGGCAGATCCAACTGAATGTTCTGAATGGTCTCAATGGTCTGCATGACCTCTGTCATATAGGGGTCATCAATCGTTGTAGATAGAGGTAGATGCTCCATTGTGATGAAATTGTGCTCAAGAGCATCTGATGGGAGGATTCGTTGTATGGGATTCACAGCTAGCATCTTTTTGAGAAGGTCTGTGAATTCTTTCAAATCTTCTAATTCGTAAACATTTTCGAGAGGGTATGCATTTTTTAGCAAATCATCTAAAGATTTAACAGCACTGTGGGTGTCAGGTTCATCTATGGTGCAACTCTGTGTCGTTCTAAACCTCCAGACCTTTCCTGATTCAGTCTCGTCAGCTGTAAAGTATCGTGTGCCTTTTTGTGAATATTCAATATAACATCCATCTGGCTGGCCAAGGAGATTAACAATTGATCTCATGATTTTGTAACTTGTTTTACCTTCAAATATTAAATGACCAAGATAAAGCTCACCCAGAACACAGCCCAGACTCCACATATCTATAGCGTGATTTATTGAAAATGATCCCAGGTGACACTCTGGGGATCTGTATAATAGAGCCTGCAATTCCGACCCCTCCAATGAGTCAYATGTGTACCTACATTCCCCAAAATCAATTAACTTAACTCTAAATGGCATGGAGGTGTGATTAACTAACATTATATTATCAGTTTTGATGTCGGTATGAATCAGTTGTAGCTTTTCCAATGTACAGAGACAAACCAACATTTGTTTTGCAATAATCCTAATCTCATATAGTCTCAGACATGTTCTTTCCTTCAATAATCTGTCCAGACTTTTGTCAAGCAGCTCAATAACAAAACAGCCCATATCATTAAACATAAAGTGATCGAAGTACTCCACAATGTGGCTTTTTGCAAGATTACTTATTTTAAAACGTCGAGAGGCCTCCTTCTCCAATCTAATTGAACGCTGATTTTTTGATGATACAAACTTTAAAGCGGTCACCTGATCTGTGTTTTCTATCTGGCATTTTGTTACCAATCCGTACCATCCTTCTCCAAGTATGCTTTCAATGCGGAAAACATTGGAGTTGTTGTAAATTATATCACCCACGTGTACTTCATTGTTTAGATCTATCTTCAAAGTGTCATTTTTGCATACAGAGCCCGACACAGGCTGTGACCCCGCAGGAACGTGAGAAGGTTGTTTGTCTTCAGTTAATCCATCGTTTGCCGGAGGCGAGCACAAGGTTTTCTTCAAACACTTACATATCTGATCCACAAGAACAGAAAACCACGTTAACATTTTAGTTTTTTAGAGCAGCAGTCCTGTCGAAATGTTCGTGAAAGGTACGTYCGTCGAACTCGTAAGCTTATTAGCTAAAGCGATCGCAGTTGGCTAATCTTTCACGATGACGTCAGAGAAAAATTAGAATATGACGTCACGTGTCGACGCGCGGTCACGTAGTTGTTCGGCATACGCAGAACTTTCATAAGTGCCGAAATAGAGCGACTCAAACACGTCTGTTTATTTTTCAAACCCCGAAACAAGTTGTATCCGCACACTGTATTCACTTCCTGTTCAGCCTTTCACAATAAAACCGGATACAATAAAACAGATCGCACCACAATGAATAACTTCTTTAAACAGTCTAACAGAACCTAACAAAACGTAAACGTCATTAATGTACAAAATAAACATAAATGTTCTGTCATGTTGATTCACTGATCACTGACTGATCACTGCAGCCCTTTAGTTTAAAGACTGTTATACTCCCAGGAGGAAATAAAT